TCAACGTCCAGTAGATCTCCGCATCGTAAATTAGTACAAAAATAAGTCTGCCATAGTTATCTTACTTGCGTTTAGTTCGTCAATTTTGTTCATTTAGTCGTTATTTTCCGATTCGTTCATATTATTCATCTCTGTGTTCCCGTCGTGTGAGTAGACAAGTCTGTTCGCGCGCATGCGTCAGCTGACGCATTTGTGGGACTCACAGCATTAACACGGGCCAAATTGAATTCGTTATTTGTGGATAACATCTTCCTTTTTCAAATAATTTACGTTCAGTCCAATGCAACGCAATTTAATTAAGTTTTTAATTAATTATTTGATACATTTCAACGGAAGGTAATTGATTTTTCTCAGTCAATTAGTAAATTGAACTATTATAAAACAGCTATTTCATCTTTTTAAGTGTTTTATCAATTTCTATAAAATCACCTCAGTTCTATTAATTTAAAATAGAAGCCTTTTTATAATAAAATTCAAAAATTTTAATCTTGAAAAATTGCAACTTTCTCAAGAAGAGATGAAACGCGTTGCGTATCTTCAAAAAAGATTGAACACTTTTGCCATTCAGGTAGAAAAATTGGAACAATACTTGGAAAGCCTAAATTTTGATCCCATAAATGCTAAATTGCGTCTGGACAGTTTGTCAACATTTTATGAGAATTGTTTGAAGTACAACGAAGAGTTGACTTCACTTCAACCTGATGATCCTCAGGTGGAGGCTTTTGTAGATATTGAGGCTCGACATTTCGAGGTGGCTACGGCAGTCACAAAGTTGCAACGAGTCGAGCCACTTCTAAGTTCCACGCTCAATCCCAGCAATATTACGATTACCGAACGGCAAGACCTACCAAAACTCCCTAAAATTCGGATCCCCGTTTTCGATGGTAAGCGGGAAAATTGGGCTACATATAAGAACAAATTCATTGCTCTTATCCATTCTCGAACGGACATCAGTGACGCAGTGAAATGCAGTCAACTTTTCGACTCCCTCACGGGCCAAGCTCTGGCCAAAGTCGACCAATTTGATCCTAGTGACAAGGATTATCCAAAGGCTTGGAAAACTCTTCTGGATTTCTATGACCACAAACGCATCGTGGCCGTAGAACATCTGAATGCCATTCTCGATCTTCCTCAGTTCACAAAGGCGTCCGCTGACGACTTATCGACACTTCTGGACAAAACTCGCCAAAATCTTCATATTCTGGAGGGTCTTGGCGCTCGATCGGGTGACGATTTCGTTGTTCGTATCGTCGTGCGCTGTCTTCCTCCAGCAGTCAGAAGAAAATGGCAGGACAAACTTGGGATGGATGAGCTTCCAAAGTTAGACGATCTTCTTGAGTTCATCCAGAACACTATTTTCAAGCAGCAAGCTGGGGATTGTGTGTCCCTACCTATTCGCACTCACAATCCGAAAAAGAGAACAGGAGAGAATCTTTCTCAGTCTTCTAGCAAATTTGCTAAGACTACTTCCCACACTTTCGTCACATCGTCCAAAGATGACTCTTCTGCCTCTCAGCTCACCTCTTTGGTCTGTCCGAGCTGCAAGGAGGCTCATCACCTTTACAAATGTCCGACATTCAACGGACTTAGGGTTCAAGATCGTTGGAATCTTGTGAGGAAGGTGAAGGCCTGTCATAATTGTCTTTGGGTTCACCAATTTCCTTGCAAGAGCGACAAGCGTTGCAAAAAATGCAGTCGCAATCATCACACACTGTTGCACAACGAGAAGGGCTCGCAACAGTCCAAACCCAAGGACGTAGCAACTCCCACTTCAGGCAGCAATCAACAATGACTAGCGCGTCCATCATGCAAGACTGGAGCCTTCCCGTCAGACTCGCAATTGATGACCACAGCAGTCATCAAGGTTCGAGACAATCGAGGGAATCCTGTCATGGCACGTGCACTATTAGATTCTTGTTCCACAGTGAATTTAATCACAGAACAATTCGCGAAATCACTTCAATTATCCACAACTAGTTGTTCTATTAACATTGGAGCAGTTGACGGTCTGTGCACTGTTTCGAAGAATTATGTTCAATTAGTTCTTTATTCAAATTACAATAGCTTCAAACAACGGTTGAATTTTTTACTAGTGCCAAACATTGCCGATGCAGTGCCTAATGACACGTTCCCTCGAAATCAATTCAGCATCCCTAAGAATGTTCAACTCGCTGATCCTCATTTTCATCTACCAAGGTCAATCGACCTTTTGTTAGCATCCAACACCATATTGTCGGTTTTGTCCATTGGTCAGATTAAACTCTGCCATAAAGATTCTGCCATCGTCTTACAGAAAACTCGTTTGGGTTGGATCGTCGCCGGAGGGTCTGAGATGTTGACTTCTTCAACAACCACTCCGTGCAATGTCGTCAAATTGGACAAACTAATTGAGCGTTTCTGGTATGTTGAAGACTTTGATCATGAACCCGTTCGGTCTCGTGATGAAATTTCTTGCGAACCAAACACACATACCAAACGTGATGTTAGTGGAAGATACATAATTCGACTTCCATTCAGAGATTCCAAATTCAATCTAGGTGAATCTCGTAGGCAGGCCCTCAAACG